CCACGTAGTTGACCACGGTTCGAGTTCCGGACCTGGTGGCTTAAACTCACACCAGGCGCATGTGCTTGCATGCCCAAGATCCCAAGAGGAGAATGGAGAAGAGATTGTGGTGTGGCCATCCCCCCTGGGGGGTGATTTCTCGCTTTCTACCTCTCCCTCTCTGTCTTTCTGGCAAGTGCAGGCACCCTATAGTAAAAAGTTCTCCAAAAAAAAACAAAAACAAAAACAAAAACCTCACACCAGCTGCATGTGCATGTACACCCGAAATCCCAAGAGGAGGATGGAAAAGAAGGGATTGCAGCATGGCCATCCCCCATGGGGGGTGATTTCTCGCTTTCTGTCTCTCTCTGTCTCTCTGGTGAGCGCATGTGCCCTATAGCAAAAAAATAAAAAATAAAAACAAACAACAACAAAAACTCCAAAACCAAAAAAAGAATGACAGCCAACCAGAGGAACACAGCCCAAGGCTATACAGTGTGAGGGTGATTTCCTGAATTTCATGAGACTAGGCACAGTCATGTGAGGTGTGTGTGCACATGTGCCCAAAATCTTGCGAGGAGAATGGGAGAGAAAGTCCTACAGCATGGCCATCCCTCCCTGGGGGGAGGAGTGATTTCTCACTTTTCCTTTCTCTCTCTCCAGTGAACACACACACCCTATGACAAAAACCTAAAAAACAGAAAGCAATGGGAAGTCAGCAGATAGCGTGGTGGTTAAGGTGCTGGATTCCCACATGACTGTGTGGTTCTAGTCTTGGACCTGGTGGCTTGAAAATCACACCAGGCGCACGTGCATGGAAGCCCAAAAACCCAAGAGGAGAATGGAAGAGAAGGGATGGCAGTGGCCATTCCCCCCAGGAGTGATTTCTCACTTTCAATTTCTCTGTCTCTCTCCATCTTTCTCCTGCAAGTGCACCACCTTAAGTTAAATAAATAAATAAATAAATAAATAAATAAATAAATAAATAAATAAATAAATAAATAAATAAATAAATAAATAAATAAATAAATAAATAAATAAATAAATAAATAAATAAATAAATAAATAAATAAATAAATAAATAAATAAATAAATAAATAAATAAATAAATAAATAAATAAATAAATAAATAAATAAATAAATAAATAAATAAATAAATAAAGGAACAAGAGGAGAATGGGCAGCAACCCCTCCCACAGTAGGGAATAGAACCAGCTGCACAAGGGATCACAGAACAGCTCTTGAGGCATACTGGGCAGAAGAGGGGGCCAGAACCGTCACCTCACTGCCCTCAGTGCTCAGCAAGGGTGATGCTGACCTCACTGACGACGACGCTTTGAGGACACTAATAGCAAAACTGACCTACCAGGGAAATTCCAGCCCGCTTCTAACCAGAAAGCTCCAAAACTTTCCCCTGCAGGCATGCAGAACAAGTGCTGGGAGACTATTTCTGCAGCGAGCACGATGACTCAACAGCTGAGAGAGGCGGGTTGTGTGTGAAGCCTGGCGTGTGCAATAACCAGCACAGCACCTAGCGAAGGCCAGGAGTCCTGTGGCCCGTCCAAGCCCCGACACACACGCAGCTCAAAGGCGCCAGGTGCCTGTTACCCCACGAGAGACTGCAATTTTCCAACAAGGTTTTTTACTAGAAAAAAGTCAGGGCTGGCAGGTGGCATGGTAATTAAGGGTACTGGACTCCCACATGGCCAAATACAGTTCGAGTCCCAGACCTGGCTGCTTGCTTTCTTAAAAAAATTAAAAAGTAATCTGTACTTGCTTGTTTGTTTGTTTGTTGTTTTGCTATAGGGCATGTACGCTCACTAGAGAGAGACAGAGAGAAATCACCCACAAGGGGATGGCCACACCACAATCCCTTCTCTTCCTTTCTCCTCTCAGGACTTGGGGCACACACACACATGCACTGTGGTGTGTTTTTCTAGTTGCTGGATCTGGAACTCAAACTGTGGAGTCAGCACATGGAATCCTGCACCTTAACCACCATGACACGAACTGGCCTCTGTACTTGACTTTTGATAGGAGTTGGGCTGACAGAGATAAACCAACAAAGATGACTGAGAAACAGTAAAGGGAGCAGGAAACCAGGAGGCTATCAGGTCTAAAGGCTAAGGGACAGAAGGCAGCTCGTGGAAGTGGGACAGAAGACCCTGCCGTGGGTGTGCAGAGGACAGGAGGGGAGAGGAAGGCAAGATGACCACTGCAGAAACCCCTTCCCGAGTCTACGAGTGAAGAACAGGCCAATCCCTGAGGATGAAGGACCTGGGGAGAGGAGGGATATTAAGTTTGGGGAGAGGGTGGTAAGAGACGGAGCTCCCATGTGCCAGCCTCTCCTGTTCCAGGCAGTGCACCAGTAGACCACACGGAAGGGGAGGAGGAGAAGCAGGCACAGGTCCGAAGACAGTGGACAAGGCTCGTAACGGTCACTACGACTCAAGAATCGGGACCAATAGATGGCACAAGGGTTACATCAGTGGACTCCCACATAGTCGACTGAAGTTCGAGTGCAGGACTCAGTGACTTAAAACTCACACCAGGTGCGAGACCAGCAGTTGGTGTAATGGCTATGTTGCTGGACTCCCACGTAGTTGACCACGGTTCGAGTTCCGGACCTGGTGGCTTAAACTCACACCAGGCGCATGTGCTTGCATGCCCAAGATCCCAAGAGGAGAATGGAGAAGAGATTGTGGTGTGGCCATCCCCCCTGGGGGGTGATTTCTCGCTTTCTACCTCTCCCTCTCTGTCTTTCTGGCAAGTGCAGAAAAAGTTCTCCAAAAAAAAACAAAAACAAAAACAAAAACCTCACACCAGCTGCATGTGCATGTACACCCGAAATCCCAAGAGGAGGATGGAAAAGAAGGGATTGCAGCATGGCCATCCCCCATGGGGGGTGATTTCTCGCTTTCTGTCTCTCTCTGTCTCTCTGGTGAGCGCATGTGCCCTATAGCAAAAAAATAAAAAATAAAAACAAACAACAACAAAAACTCCAAAACCAAAAAAAGAATGACAGCCAACCAGAGGAACACAGCCCAAGGCTATACAGTGTGAGGGTGATTTCCTGAATTTCATGAGACTAGGCACAGGTGTAAGGTTTTCTCTAACACAGGTTGGCAGCAAAAGGAAAAAATGGTAATGAGGTGAAAGGCTTTGGCAAGAGAGTGGTTTAAAATCTGGCCCATGGGGGCCAGCAGTTGGCGTAATGGCTATGTCTCTGGACTCCCACATAGTTGACCGCGGTTCAAGTCTCAGACCTGGTGGCTTAAACTCACGCTGGGTGCATGTGCGTGCGTGCCCCAAGATCCCGAGAGGAGAATGGAGGAGAAGGGATTGCGGCATGGCCATCCCCCCTGGGGGTTGATTTCTCGCTTTCTGTCTGGCGAGCACACGCGCCCTATAGCAAAAACCTCTAATAAAAAAAAAAAAAATCTGACCCATGGATCCTAAACTGAATACGGAGGAGAGTAAGTGTGAGAAGGAGCTGACGGGCAGGCACAGAGGAAAGGAGGGAGCAGACCAGGTCTCCATGGACAGAAGAGGAGGCAGGGAATAACTATGTGGCACGGCAGAGGGATGGGACAGTGGTCACACAGGCAGGATCTGACTGGTCTATCACAGTTGGATGCAGACAGGCAGAGAGTGGGAGTGGAGGCACAGAGGGAGGAACGGAGGAGGAAACCCCTGGGGCTGAGGAGCCGCCAACCCCAGCAGTCCAGGAAACAGACCACCCTGGTCCAATGAAATCGGGATAGGGTGGAAACCAGGCTGGGATGATGAGGTCAGTGGGCAGCACTGTCTCTTTCTCTGTCTTTCTGGAGAGTGTACCTGCCCTATAGCAAAAACCTCTCTAAAACAAAAAAAAAGAAAGAACAAATAAATCAAAGCATTACCTTGTTTATAATTCATCTTAGTTCAAAAAATAATTTAAGACAATAAAGTACTGCCTGAAATTTCAAATATGTAATTTAAATGAAACAAAATTAAGGGGATACTTTAAACATGAACAAATACCTGCTTTTCCAAAGAAATTCACTGCTAAATGCAATCGCTTCGAAAAACAATATAATTTCTACATAAGCCAATGTGCTTCCCCAAATAACACACACACACACACACACACACACACACACGTACACACTAAGTCTTCAAAAAATTCACGGAAAACACATATTATGAAAAAACATGTATGGAGTTTAAATGTTTTTATACCAAAATAAATCCATCGTTTTTAAAGAGATTTTTGCTATGGTGCATGTGCATGCACCAGAGTCACAGAGAGAGGCAGAGAGAAAGCAAGAAATCACCCCTCAGGGCAGATGCCCACCCTTCCACTCCATCCTCCTCTCAGGATTTTAGGCATGCACACACATATACCCAGTGCTGAGTTTCAAGCCGCCGGTCTGGGACGTGAACTGCAGTCATCCATGTGGGAGCCTAGTGACATAACCATTGTACCCTTACCATTATGCTGGTCCCGCCTAAATGAACTCAAACTTTAATTGTTTTTCTATGCATTTCTTGAAGTCTCTTTGTATATATGTGAACATTTCTTTCAGAGAAAGTGTGTTGAAAAGATAAAGCACTATACACACACACACACACACACACACACATGCGTCCCAATGGGCCAGAGTGGTGTGGTGGTTAAGGTGCTAGACTCCCACATGGGCAGCCAGGGTTCGAGTCCTGGATCTGGCAGCTTAAAAACATACCAAGTGTGTGTGCATGTGCAGAATCCTGAGAGGAGAATGGAGAAGGAGGAACTATGGTGTGGCCATGTTCCCTGGGGGGTGATTTCTTGCTTTCCCTCACTCTGTCTCTCTCTGTTTCTCTGGTGAGTATATGCTCCCTTTGGCCAAATAAATAAATAACTGTACAAATAGCATATGTCCTAACTATAATTAAATATTGGGCTTTTTTACTTATTTATTTCAAACGAAAAATGAACACTGTGATTTCAGTCTGGCAAGAACTGCATTTGAGAGTTATTAAAATCTCCAAACACATACCTTTTAGTTCCTCGTTTTTGTAATCACTGCATAAGTGGTTGCCTAGGAAACCTCCTGACAGAAGAAGAGGCTCAAATGATTCTCATCTTCGAGCCCGCAGGTCTGACTCACCAACCTTCGCGCCCACAGAGCGGGTTATTAGAGGCAGATATTTTTGCAACCTGCATGACAGGAAAGAAAAACAATGGGTGAGTAATTACTTATTTTGAATATAGCTTCCTAACAAAAGAAAAGTAAAGAGGCTGGGTCTCTATTCACATCAAATTTAGAAGAGAAATATGTTCTCAAATATAGCCACATAGTCTATTACCGTCAGGTCTGGGTGGAGGGTTGTTTGCATGGCAATGTGTTGACATGACAGGGAGTAAACACCGTGATAGAAGGTAACAGAGATGACGCTGGGAGGGCAAGACATGGAGACACCGAAGAATACGCCAAGGCATTATGACCCCCACAAGCACTGCAGACCTTACCCCGGCTCTGGTTCCCCGACTTTCCTTAAGTCTAGTGACACCTCTACCCAGAACACCAGGACATCCTCATGGAACAGTGACAAGAACCCAGATCTACTCTCCCGCGTGCCAGAGACATGGCCCAGGTCACACATGCGAAACTGTGTAGCTTGGGGGAGGCACCTGTGCAGGCTCTGGTTCCCACTGACCTGGGCTGAGCAGAAATACTGAGGATGCTGAGGTCAGCTGGTGTCTCTGCTCTGAAACAGTACCAGAGGGCAGGGATGCAGCCAGGCCCGGGAGGCCGTACAGGCTGGGCCCGTGACTGCAGGCAGAGTAGCCCTTTACAAGGGCCTCGGACTGACTACTTCTCAGCCTCGGATCTCAAATATCTTTTCATCATCTCTTAACAATCATCATTTACTTTAAATTCAAATACTTAAAACCACCTCTTCTGAAGGAAAAGCAGCAACTAATTCCCACCTCCACCCCCACTCCCCCACTCCCAGCTCTGCTTCTGCCTGGGAGCTGCTCTAGGGAGAAGGGTTGCAGGAAGAGGAGGCAAAGGGAAAGAAAGGCCAGAACTCCTCACCCTCACCCTTCTCCCCTGAATAATTAAGGTACTCTGCTAGCTACTACCTCTGCTGCTCCAGTCTTACCCTGCAGCAAGATTTTTCTCCCTATTTAAATCACCCACCCTTGCCCTGAGGATACAAATTCAAACTCTCCTAGGGTTAGTGTTGAAAGCTCTTCACCTGGGACTCCCTGAAAAAGTCCCCTATGCCCTTCTGTGACCTCAAACCTGTACATGAAAAACAATCCCACACTTGGTCTAGGACAGAACCAAGGGCTGGCTATGTATTATAATTCACAATACCCTGCTGGGAAGACTTGAACAGCACTCCAGTTAAAAGTGCTTTTTTCCTATGTAATTTTCTAACAAACTTGAAGGACATTAAGACTGGCTCTGGGAAGCTTATTAAATGCACACCCAGTGAGCTGTGAACTCTAACCTCCCAGTTAGGGCCTGAAGCTTTTAACCAGACATCCTTTCTGATGATAAAGTCATTATTCTTCTTTCTTATAGTAGTCCCTACCAGAGTGAATCATTACATTAGGGACCTTTCTCCTTGCACTGCAAAACTGTAAAGAAATGCGTTCCCAGTAAACTAAATGTTTTCTTTCACAAATGTGACCTAACCTACTGCAGTCCTTCTGCCCTGCCCTGTAACACACCTTGGTCTCTGGCCTCTATGGGCCTTCAAATACACAGCAACTGCCCACCAGGGAACATCCATAGGGCCTGACATCTCCCCTCACTACCCTACTTCCGCCTCACCCTTTGGGGTAAAATTCTTTTTTTTTTTTTTTTTTATTATTATTAGGTTTTTGCCATAGGGCACTTGTGCTTATTGGAAAGAGACAACGAGAAGGAAAGTAAGAAATCACCCCCCAAGAAGGATGGCCATGCCACAACCCCTTCTCCTCTATCTCAGGATTTGGGGCATGCATGCACATGTACCCAGCATGTTCCTCCAACTACCCAATGTGAGATGCAAACCACAAAGTCAAGCATGTGGGATCCAGTGTCTTAACCACCCACCATCTGCTGGCCCCAGTACTTGGCGATGTTATGTCTGTATTTCTCACCCCCTTCTAGAGCCTAAGTTAAGATAAGCACGCGATAAATGTTAGCTGAATGAACGAACAGTAGCAGCCTAGTGCAGCAGTCAACCTGCCCGGCCAAAGTGTCATGTTCTTTTGTGTGATCCACCTTTCAAGTGCTCTGAGTTCGGACTATGTCAAAATCAGAAGGGATATCTGATATTAAAACTGCTATTTTTGCATCTCAGTATCAAGACAAATACTTTCTTAAAACATTCTTTTTATATATATATATCTTTTGTTTAAATTTATTTGTTTATTTATTTAATTTGACCCGAGAGAGAGAGAGAGAGAGAGAGAGAATGTGAAAGCAAGTCACCAGGTTCAAGACTTCAACCACTGCCACCTGCCAGCCTGATCTTTTCTTCTTCTAAGTTTTATTTATTTATTTCTTCCATGGGCAAGAGAGACAGACAGAGACAGGCACCTCCAACAGGGTCTTCATGCCACGATCCACCTCCAACCTCAGCCAACCCTGACCACAGGCATACACAAGCACACCCACGTGCATGGGTGTGAACACAGGATTGAACATTGGCTCTTCCCTTTTGAGTCCAACCTAGCAGAGCACCGCACTGTCTCAGTATGCCAGCTCACCAGGGTCTAGTTCGCAATGACTGTAAGATAAGCCGCGGCTCTTTATCTCAGTACATTTCCCAAAAAATGCCTCAGCATTCTGGAGATCACTTGAAGGGTTTAAAAACTGGCCTGAACAGTAATTGCAAGAAGCATACTTGCCAGATCTGAGCTGTTAAAAAGCCCTAATGTAAATGTAATCCCCCATGGAGGATTCTCTCTCTCTCTCTCTCTCTCTCTCTCCCCATCTTTCTGTGGCAAGTGCACATGCCTTTGGCAAATTAAAAAAAAAAAAAAAAAAGCCCTAACCCCTGAGCACAAAGGCGAAAAACCTTGAGCTACCCAGAGAGGGCACTGGGCACTGGTTTCAGGCAGGTAAGGAGGGAGGAACTCTGTATCCAAAGTTTTGCAGTTTTCTTTACTTGTTAAAAGACTCAAAATAGGGGCCAGCAGAGAGCATGGTGGTTAAGATGCTTTATTCTCACATGGTCAACTACAGTTCCAGTCCCAGATCTGGCAACTTATTTACTTTCTCACTTTACCCCCCCCCATCTCCCTCTGGTAAGTGCCTAGACCCTGCAACAAATTTAAAAATAATGATAATGATAAATGAAATTAAATAATTATTTTTTTAAAAAAAAGACCCAGAATATATCCAAAGATATATTTATATTTAATAAATCTTGAACAGCCTGAGAACAAATCAGCTAATTTTCTATATTTCACTTAGAATGCCCATTCTTACACACACACACTTAGGAAAAAAAGAATGAGTAATATTAAGACAAAGTAATGACACACTGGACAGACCTCTCACGGCTGAGATACAGAAGTGCCTGCTGCAATGTCCTACATTCTACACGTTAGTGAGAACTTGAAAGGAGACTTATTATAGAGCATGTGGGAATTTCCCACATGAATTGAAGACTTATTTGACTGAAAGTAGAATTGAAGGCTTGAGGAAAGGACTTCCCCTGTGGTTGACTGAAAACATTCTTCTTATTTTGAGTTGTCAAATAAAGTGACCATAAAGTGAGCAAAAAGGCCTCTTCAAAATGTTTTTGAACTTTTCCCCCTGGTACTAGATTTTAGATTGGCTTAAAGACAAAATACTTTAACATACTTGAAATTTATTTGTTGTTTTCTTTTTTCTTTTATTCTTATTCTTAAAGTGACATATTTAATTGAACATATTTATGGAAAATTTCCTTAAATCACAATAACACAAGTAAGAGGGAACATGAAGTTATAATATTCTGCAAAAATACTTTAATCAGTCTACCTTAATAAAATGTCTGCAAATTGTGATGAAATGTCTACAAATGTATATTTGCAAAACTGTTCATTTTTAGAATCATGAAATTTATCGCAAAGTGGTTTAAAACAGTACATAAAACTCAGTGGATACATCATTTATATACATTAAGACCATTCTTATTAAATGCTAAAACAATTATTCTTCTTTCATTCTTACTTAGAAATGAACCTGAAGTGAAAATGTAAATCACTTGAATTGAGGGGAAGAGAGTAATCAGAAAAATAAATCAAATTCATTAAGAAATTCACCCCCAGGGCCATACTACTGGGGTAGTGAAAGAGTGCTGTTAAGGTACTGGACTCACACAGCTGAAAGTGGTTTGAGCCCCAGACCCAGAAGCTTGAAAATCATGCTGGGAGTATGAGCATGTGTGTCCAAAATCCTGAGAGGAAAATGAAGGAGAAGGGACTGCAGCATGGTCATCTCCTCAGGAGGTGATTTCTCACTTTCCCTCTCTCTCTGTCTCTCTCTCCAGCAAGCATATATGCCCTATGGCAAAAACCTAAAAAAGAACAACAACAACAACAACCACAAAAAAGAATTTCACCCCATAGGGCTGACTCTGTGGCACAAAGGTAATATGCTGCTCAAGAGATCCCACCGGTGACCAGGGTTCAAATCCCCAGCCCCGTCAGCCTGAAATGCATGGGGATGTGTAGCAGTGCCCACGATCCAATGGGCAGGAGGACTAGAGGAAGGGGACTGTAGCACGGTCAGGCCCTCGGGAGGGCACTTGTCTCTCTCCCTCACATATGCACGTGCACATACACACACACTGAATCATGCGCACAAAAACAATGTTGCTCCCCACCCCCATCACACAGCAATAAGCGATTTGAAGTCTAACTCTTCAAGTTCAACTCCTTGACAGGTAGGAGAGGTGTTAAAATGGACTACTATAATGTCAGCATTAAAACCATAAGTTTTTAACACAATTTCATACTTAGAAAGGTTTCTATCGGGGTCAGGAGGTGGTATGGTAATTAAGGCTCTGGACTCCCACGCTGGCTGACGGCGGGTGGCGTGCTGGACCTGGTGGCTTGCTTTCTCACTCTCCCGCTTCCCACCCTTTCTCTATATGTATCTCTGGTGAGTACACGTGAAAACTTAGGGTAAATAAATAAATAAATACAATGTTTTGTTGTTTTTT